ACAAATTGCACATTTATAATCTAATATTGTGACTAGCAGTATAACAATAAATTATAACATGCAGTTACAAGTCAGTAATTTGTATTTCTAGAAATGAACTTTTCTAATTTTCAAAAAATATGAATTACTTTTTATTAAGAAGCAAAAATATTTTTGCTCTAAATAAATTGCAATAATTTATTTTAAGATCATTATCCTATACTTCTTATCAGAACAAGAGTAATAAACCTCAAAATATTAACATATGTGCTGCCAGAGAATCCCTATGATAGGTTCATACATTAAAATTTCTATATAAATGTGAAAACTCTAACCAGAGCCTTTCTTAGTTCAGACTAAAAAGGGAAATCAAATGAGAAATGAAACATTAGACACAAAAACATTTGTAATTTCATTGCCTGTGCCACAGTGACACCAACAGGCCAGCGAAGTGATGACAACTTAATAAACGACTGCTCATTTTATACAAGATTATATTTTTTAAAGTGTAGTATGCATTAAATAAAAGCCATTTTACAATTTCAGACAGGAAATATGTATAAAAGGAAGGTGTATATAAGTAAAATACCTTAGAAAAGTGGTCATGATCCAGTTTTACATGCGATCTTTCTTAGTCCATAAAATATAGTCTAATGCTAATAATACACTTCAATACTTTTATAAACTTTTATCTATATTAAAATAGAAATGTGGATGAGATTAAATGCAATTTCCCTTTTATTGCTAATAAAATACCAAAGGAAAAGTGTGCCAAAATGTAGATAGATATAGGGTGGGGTACAAGTTGGTTTATAGTTGTGAGTATGAAAAACAGAGCTTATTGAATATATAGATATAGAGATATAGGTATAGATATACATATACATATATATATAGATTGATTTCAGGGAGGAAGGGAGAGGAAGAGACAGAAACATCTGTCTCTGATCAGAGAGAATCATTGATCAGCTGCTTCCTGCACAGCCCCTAATGGGAATCGCATCATGACCTCCTCCTTCACTCAACCACTTAGCCACAGTGACCGGGCCAGAGTTTATTCTTGTATTATTATTATTATTGTGTTATTTTCCATACAAACAACTGTAAACTTACTTTCCCCCAACCCTGTATATGCCTAATAGATCCTGGGTCTAATTTATTCAACATAGTCAAAAGATGCTTTTAAAATACTATTTTTTTACTTACGGTAAAAGGGATCGATCACACGACCAATTTTTATATTATTTAAAGCATATTAAATATGTAAGAAACTCTCATCATGCATATATTTTTCATAAGAGCAGGTAAAAATGGAAATAAGTTTTATGATGTTGGATTTCTTTTAGGGAGGTGAAGTGCTGGTTGAATGCATTGTTGCTTCTAAGGAACCTTTCCCAGTTTTAAAATTACATCTAAGTAAGGAAGACCTTCAGGACAACATCTTTTTCCTTCACCTCTCAATAGAAAGTGAAATAGCACTGCAGGGGAATCTCCAAAAAGAGAATTTTACATTAACCAATGAGTAAACTTACAAAGCAGCAAGTTAACCAGCTTTGACTGCATACAGAGGCAAGTTTCTGCCCACTCCTGAGACACTGGCAATGTCTGGAGACATTTTGCTTGTCACAACTGGAGGGTGCTATTGGTATCTAATAGGAAGAGAATAGGAATCCTACATGCACAGGCCACAACAAAAAAATTTATCTGGTCCAAAATGCTGATTGTGCTGAGATTGAGAAAGTCTGATCTAAAATATCACCTGTTCAAGTATTTTATTCTTAAGCATATGAAATAAAGAGAGCCTATTTAAACTATAAAATGATAATATAATTATCATTTTCAAGAATATGAAAACTATATTTTAAAAGTTATTTAAAGTTGTACACATGTACCAAATAACATAAAAAGGGTTATTTAATGAAAATAGCTCCAGAAATAGTAGCCATCACTATCATTTCTAGAATTATTTTCAGCATATTACTTACTTTATCCCATTTAATGTTAATATCCCTACAAAAGTAAGATTCTCATTCACAGAGATTAGAAAGCAAAAAGGATAAGAGATTAAATAAATACCTGCCCAAGGTATTTATTTTGCAACACTAGAAATTGCATAAATGACATTTAAGTCCATATCATCTGCAAACCCATAGTGTTGCCATTAAAATGCATTACATTTCAATTTCAATGAAAGGCAGATCAAAAATTAAAGCATCCCTAATTTCATTTTTCACTGAGTCAAGCATATTGTTTAAAAGTTAATTTTAGAAAGTGAACAGCAAATTCAAAAGCAGTCTACTTAGAAATTATGTACTAAGGACACATAAAAAAGAGATCAGACAGTGCCAATGTTTAAAAGGATAACCTATATTTAATATTTTTTTCTTATAACAAACAAAATTAAGTAGTTTTATAAAGTAACTAGAGGCCTGGTGCATGAAATTTATGCCTGGGGATGGGGAGGCTTCAGCCCAGCCTGCGTCCTTTCACAATCCAGGACCCATTGGAGGATGTCGGGCGTAAACCAGCAGTCGGACATCCCTCTTTGCATGTACCGGTGACCATACTTTTTATACAGGTGAAATGTATTTTGTTTGGGCAGCTAAATTTTTTTGCCCGGATTATAAAAAGTCGTACATAACATGATCCTTCTTAGGCAGTAGTACCATTTTCCCCATCTTATGGGTGGAAAAACTGAAGCAGAGAGAAGTTAAATAGTTGGCTTTGTCACAGTTATATGTGTCAGAATCAGGGCTGACCACAAAATGTGGAGGCCAGAGTCCATGCATGTTATCGCTGTATCATCCTGTTTTTTCAGTGTTAAGAGTAGCCTTGCCAAGTTTTAAAGTTTAAACCTAATGTTCCTAATATATAGGGTAGGTCTGGCCAGCGATCAGGGCCATCTGTGGAGCAACCGGTAGGCGGGGCGATTGTGAGGCCCCTGCTGGCACCTGCCTTGGCTGGTGGCCTGATGCCGCCTGCTGGCTAGCCTTGTACCCCAATCGACACGCCAGTCATCTCACAGTCAGGGGCAGTTCCTGCATTGAGCGTCTGCCCTGCCTCCTACCTCCCCTCCCCCGCCCCCAGTAGTCCATGTGCATTATAGCGACTGGTCATTCCATGTTCACTCGATTTGCATATTAGGTTTTATTATATAGGATATGCCAAAAGTGTCAGACACACTCTTGTTCTGTTATCAATAGAATTATTGATAACATCAAAGCCTAAATGCTTACTAGCCTGGGGCTAAACCCTAACAAATCACTATTATGACATACCTAAGTCATCCCTACATGATAAATTAGATTCCTGGCAATTTGGTCAATCTAAGAAAATATTCCTATATTAAACACTATTACTTTTGTCTCAAAGCTTAAGGGCTTATCATGATTCTTTTTTATACATTTATAATTTTATCACAAAACCATTCTTTTGGCATTAATTAGTTACAGCAAGATACTGTGAGTGTGGCATAGCAGCTCTAAGTAACAATTGCATTCCTTGCTTCCTAAACCAAAATTTAAGTTACCTCATATCCAGTACATATAAGTTATCTATAATCATTTATGCTGTAAATCCTGATGCATATACCATTTAGGGAGGAGTTGATGCTAAGGGATTAAATGTTAATAAGACTACAAAAGGACCTGTATGGGACTTTTTTCCTTCTCCCTCTCCCAAGTTACTTTGCTATAAAATAATTGAATTACTTAGAGCTAGTCTGCATGGCTACATCGTACTTAGTTTTTTTAAAAAGCAATACCTATGCGATGAATATTTTATACTACACGCACAGGGAATGATGACTCTAGTTTTAAACTCCTGCATTAGAGTCTCTTAAAAAAATAAAATCAGTCTATCAAGTTCTTTTAGATGGCATTATTGCTGTACATTTGTTGGTGGATCACTTTCTGTGCTGTGTTTGCTTTGAAGAGATCTTCCAATATATCTCCAATATGCCTTTCTTCTGGTGTCCTTTTCTTTAGCCAGGATTTCACATAACTCTAATACTTATTAAGAATATCCTCCTTGTTGTCACATTGGTTTTCTAGCATATCTTCATAGATATCCAGAAGAAAGGAAATTAGGTAGGGGGAACTATGACTTGGTTGCAAATCAAGCAATTGATTTAATAGATTGGGATATTTGGAAAGACCACGATCCTGCAAAATCCCTTTCAAATAGTTCCATGTTCTTTTATTATGTGGTACTAGCTTGATCATTTCCAGGGTGTACTGGACTTCTCTTTCCAGTAAAGGCCTATCGATCATTGTAGCCACTGGTGTCAGAAATTACAAAGTATCTTTGGTTCCAGACAGAATTATTTCTCACATCCTTTTTAAGAAGTTGGTCTACATTCTGCAGCTCATTATCCCAAAGTTTAAATTCCTGAGTAACCCACTGTCGATGCTACCAGGCATGATAATTCTTTGCATCCTGGTTCAGAATATCAGCAATAAACTCAAGCTCCTGAGATAGATCTTTTAGCCATTCCACTAATACTTGCCTATGATGCCAAACTTGATATCTTTTGGTCTGTTCTTCAATTATTTCAGTGATGTATTATAGTTCATTTCCTCATGTAGATCCTTTTGAAGTGACTTTAAGAGAACTCTCTGTAAATGCACACTGTATAATTGGCTGCATTTAACTCTATAGGATCTCTGGTTAATTTAAAAGCACTCCCTTTTATCATCACACTGCAGAAGGGCCCAGAAATAATCATAAACATCTCTAACTCTTGGATGGCTGACCAGTGTCCTGAAGAGTGCAAGGGAAGACCCCTCTTCAGGCAGCCTGGAGAGCTCGCCTTGAGTCTTGTCCAAGTTTCCCGAAGACAGGCGGTACTGGTTACACTGCAGTGAGTGGCTCTACTGCTGCCAAGCTGAGCTGGTGGCCAAATGGGCCTCCCAAGAGAAGGCATTTGGGGATGGAGACCCTCTGTTCTATCCTGCCCTCTCCCACCCTTGCCTCTGTGGGTATCATAATTCTTTTATTAAGAGAAAGAAAAGTGTTCTTACCCTATTAAAGCCATGTTCATGAGAGTCATCAACTTCTCCATTACTAGTCACCGCAATTTCTGCTGCTGAATTTTTGGGAGACTCTTGAGCCATGGTAGACTCCTACAAAAAAGAGGCAAAAAAAAAAAAAAAAAATAGTCATAAGTAACACAAAATTATAAAAGGAAACATTAAAAGACCATATTTATGTTTAAGGAACTTAAAAGCCAGCATTTAAAAAATTAATTTAAAATTTACCTAATACTCACATAGTAAACATGATATTAATATAATAAAAATGCATCTGGCTTTTAAAATTGAACTCAACTTATGTTTTTATATTAAAAACACAAGTTACTACTCCTAGCTGGTTTGGCTTAGTGGATAGAGCATCGGCCTGTAAACTAAAAAGTACCATGTTCGATTCCAATCAAAGGCACATGCCTGGGCTGTGGGATTGATCCCCAGTAGGGGGCATGCAGGAGGCAGCTAATCAATGATTCTCATTACTGATGTTTCTCTTTCCCTCTCCATTCCTTTCTGAAATCAATAAAAATATATTTAAAAAAAAAACCCACAAGTTACTTGTTACAATATCCTTGCCTTGTACATAGTGTTATGATAGACTATCACTTACAGCTGGAAAAATATTATGGGGAAAGACAAGCTTGATTTTTAATCAAACTAAAACAGCTATATTTTTCCTGTTGTATAAAATGGGTTTCTAAGTCAGCTTTTGTCCAAAGAGTTTCCCTGATGTAAAAAAAAATTTTGAAACTTTTATACTAGAAGAATACAGTTTTATACTCTGACTTTACTGCCCTAAAAGTCAAATAATGTTTAAAAATACATCCCTTAATTTTGTAACCATAGAAAATATAAATTTCTTTCAGAAACTAAATATGGTTAATAATAGAGCATCAGTTAAGGCTGATAAAAATTTTGCTTGCTCTAATCATATGTGATTTAAAGAAATGTTTGGCTACAAGTTAAAATGAAAATTTCATATCTGTAAAGAATCTTAAAAATAATATTATTTTCCCATATTTTAAAAATAAAAAAATTTCAGCGTAAAAAGTTAACAGTTATACTTTTTACGGAAAACAGGTGTCTCTCTCTTCACACACATTTAACAATGGTGCCCACTAGAAGAAAGGCCTTAATAGAAATATGTTAGCAACAGAATACCTAACAGTATGTGCTTAATGCTCAGACCTGAGTCTAGCTGCTACTCCTGATATCGCATGCATAGAATTGCCAAAATTAAATCAAACAACTAAAATGTGTGTGTGTGTGTGTGTGTGTGTGTGTGTGTGTGTATGTTTAATCTATAGGCCTGAACCTACTGCCAAGAACATTAATTTAGAAGATTTTTACAGGCTGTTATACTACTAAAAGCAAATGTTAATGCAAATAGTTTTGTGGTTTAATCTCTACTTCTATTAAATATAAAAAGACTTATTAAAATATATTTCACAGACATAATGAAGCAAATGAAGCCAGACTCAATGAGTACATACTATATGATTCAATTCAAAAATAAACTAATGAGTTATGAATATTGTAGGCAGAATCATGGTTACCTTGGGGTGGGGAAACACTAAATCTTGACTTTGAGGGTGGACTTCTAGTTTCTATTTCTGAATGTAAGAAGCTTAGAAGTTGCCACTTCATCCTAACAACAAGTAAGAAGCTGAACAGACTGAAAAGTCAACAACTCTTCTTGGATTCATAAGCGAGGGGAGGACACAGGGCAAAATGCTGCCTCAAAATTGGAAGATAGGCAAATACAGGGAGTCATGGCTTACCAGAGTGAAGACTCACCAGTGGAAAAGACCTCAGCTACTAGCTCAGATAGGGAAACCTAATGAATTGCTGGAGGTTCAGGTACGGACAATTCTGAGCATTACAAACTCTAGAGAGAATGAGGAGGGGCCCACAATATTGTGTTTTACCTCCAGGAACTGGACCAGGTTAGCACAGTAAATACTGGAGAAAAATCCCCTCATCATTCCAGTGAGGGGAAGAGAAATGGAACTGTTTTTTTGAAATACACCAGAGCACTATGTTCTTAACAAGGCCTATCCCAGGAGAAAGCAGAACCTAACCTTGGATACAATCAGTGTCTAACTGACCTAAATAAGGAAAATACCTAAATCCAGTCCACTCTGGCCATCCTGACACACCTAAGAGGGGGTAGAGAAAAAACAAGAAACAATTGTAAAGCTCCCAGTCCAGAGGCACAGATTCACTAAAGACTGAGACCTAAGCATAGGACTAGAGAATGCTTCCCTCCTTCTACACCTCATCAACACATTGTTAACAGTTTCTTTAAAAAAAATATCATGTCTGGCTATCAGAAAGAATTACCAGCTCCTCCAAAGTCAAACAAACAAACAATAAAATAAATAAAATAAATAAAGAATAAAATAAAATAAAATAATAAAATAAAATAAATAAAATAAATAAAATAAAATAAATAAAATAAAATAAAATAAAATAAAATAAACAGACACAATTTGAAGACACAAAGCAAGTATCACAGCCAGACATGGCAAGGATGTTGAAATTATCAGACCAGAAATTTAAAATAATTATGGTTAATATGCTAAGGGCTGTAATGGATAAAGTATACACGAACAGATGGGCAATGTAAGCAGAGTTATAAAATTTCTAAGATAGAATTTTGAAAAAGTTAGAGATCAAAGTCACTGTAACATAAATGAAGAATCCTTTGAATATCATAGACTGAATAATGGCCCTGGGATAGGCAAACATTTCTTAGGACATAAAAAACATAAATAATAAAACAGAAACACTGATAACCTGAACTTCATCAAAATTAGAAACTTCTCTTCAAAAGACACTATTAAAAAAAAAATGAGCAGGTTTTGCTCAGCAGTTGTAGTGTTGGCTTGTAGACTGAAGGTCTAGGGTTCAATTCCAGTCAGGGGTGAGTACCTTGGTTGCAGGCTCCATTCATGGAGGGGTGTATAGGCCTGCACGAGCAGGAGGCAACCAATCCATGTGTCTCTCTTGCTTCAATGTTTCTCTATCTCTCCCCCTACATTCCCCTCTGTCTGAAAAATCAATGGAAAAGGTATCCTAGGGTAAGGATTAACAAAAAAAGAGAAAAAAATGAAAAGGCAAGCCACAAACTGGGAGAAAATAGAGGTAAAATATGAATGTACCAGACTAATGGCTGGTGTTCCAAATATCTCTCTATATAAAACCCTAATATGCAAACAGCTGAACAGCAGAAACATCAGAACCGGTCAGTATGACATGTGCTGATGACCAGGGGGTGTGCAAGGAACCTGCCAGGCATAGGCAGCAGGCAGAGTGCAGAGCATGGCAGGAATTGGCTGCAGTGGGATGGTGGAGAGGTGAGTGGGGGGCGCGAGATCAAGATGCGGCACCAGATCAAGGTGCAGCACCAGTCGGTCACTATCATCGGGGCAAGCCACTGGTGGTTACTGAAAATTCTTTGCTCCTCTGTGCCACAGTCCTGCCCAGCACTTGTATCTGCTGCTGGTGCCAGCCCTGTTCACACCTACTGTCAGTGCCTGGCCCTGAGCGCTCAGTGCTGTCAGCGGGTGTGAACAGCAGCTGCTGGCCCTAATCGCCCCTCAGGGCTTCTCCACCTCCCCCTGCTCCTGAGGGGCAATCGGGGTAGCAGCTGCTGCTCGCACCCGCTGAGGGCACCAGCCCCAATTGCTCCATGCCATTGGTGCAAGCAGGGCTGGTGCCATCAGTGTGTGGGAGCATTGGGAGAGGAGCTGCCAACAGAGATGGGACGTGGTGGCTGAGGTGAAAGGGGCCAGACGGGGGTGTGGAGGATAGGCCAAGACCCACCCCTGTGCCCACCACAGCCTCGAGGCCCACAGTTCCTTTCAAGGTGCATGGTTTTGTGCACTGGGCACCTAGAGTAAATAATAAAAAATACATTTTTATGCCCAAAAATTTAACAAGCATTTCACAAAAGAAAACATATGAATGGCAAGTACATACATGAAAAGATATTCAACATCACTAATCGTCAAGGAAATGCAATTTAAAACCACAATAAGGTACAACTACAGGATGTCTCAAAAAAAAAAAAAAAAAAGGTATACATACTTTGAATAACTATTAATTCCAATGGGTTAAATCTGAAAAGAAAGAAACATCAATTGAGCTATCAGCTGCTAACGTGTATATACATAATTTGGGGACATCCTGTATATACACCCACTATAATGGTTAAAGTTTAAAAAGGCTGACAATACCAAGTGTTGGTAAAGAGTAATTGGGAACTTGCAACACTGCTGGTGAGAATATTAAAAAGTACTTCACTTCGGAGAACTGCTTAGCAGTTTCTTATAAAAGTAAATATGAGCCAAAACTGGTTTGGCTCAGTGGATAGAGTGTTGGTCTGCGGACTGAAAGGTACCAGGTTCGATTCTGGTCAAGGGCATGTGCCTCGGTCAAGGGCGTGTGCCTTGGTTGCGGGCACATCCCCAGTAAGGGGTGTGCAAGAGGCAGATGATCAATGTTTCTCTCATCGATGTTTCTAACTCTCTATCCCTCTCTCTTCCTCTCTGTAAAAAATCAATATATGGGGGAAAAAAGTAAATATGACTCAGCCATTCTATACCTAAGCATCCACCAGAGAAATTAAAACAAATGTCCTGATTACACTTGTATTATGTGTATTCATAACAGCTTTACTCATAAGAGCCCAAAAATAAAATATATCCACCAACTGGGTAATGGATAAACAAATTGTGTAATATACATATAATGGGATATTCCTCACCTCTAAAAACTAATGAATTACTGATATATGCAATAAATATTGCTTAATCTCAAAACATTATGCTGAGCTAAAAAAGGCAGGCACAAAATAATACATACTATATCATTCTATTTATAGAACTCTAGAAAATATAAAACTAATCTATCATGACAGATCAGCTATTGCCTGGGGAGAGAGGTTAGTTAGGGGAGGATTAACTGCAAAAAGTACAGGAAACTTTAGGATAAAGAAAACTTCTGTATCTTGATTGTGATTATGGTTCCTAAGTTTATGCACTTGTCAAAACTCATTGGAGTGTATCATATGTAAATTTTAC